ACGCCTCCTTCTGCCTGTTACATACTTTTAACAAAACCATTATACCCTGATTTCCTATTTTCAATGGGTTCAGGGTATTTTAATTTAAAATTATATTTTTTTTTTGTTTAATTAAGTTAATTTTTATAGAGTATTTGGCCCGAAGTCTGCTCTATACGGTTAATGTTTATACTTAGTTGTGTATATGTATTTTCATTTATTTATTTATTTATTTTTTTTTCAATATTTACCACAATTTTGTTTACATCATTCATCTATATTTGGACATACGTATGTGCTGTATAAATCGTATTGTCTTACATTCTCCAGTGAAATTATTGTTTATACCATTGCAACTATTTGAGAATAATACATTTGTGTATGTGTATTATTGAGATGTCAGTTTTATTAAGAGTTTATAGATTGTACAAATTTTCAAATAAAAAATTTAATTTTTAATATAATAAAGTCCTCAAAAACAGTTTCCAACAATTCACAAAACATGCATATAGGCCTTTTACTAACGTTAAAACATTCACATTTCAGTTAACAATTAAATTCACTTGATAATTGATAATTTAACAATTTGTTTATTAACGTTTAATTATGATTTTCATGAATATATACATATATACTTTTCTTTTATTATTTTAGTAGAGCTTTTTGTTGTTGTGCACCTAACCACAAACTCATCATGATAACTTTTGCCACAGTTTTAGCGAGGTAAGCGCCAGATCATCAACGAGTTCTATTCCTCCTTTGGTATTAGGCATTGTTAATTCGATAAAATGTCTTTGAAAAATTATTAACTCCGCATTTCACAGTATGACGCATCGAAACAGCAGCAAGAATTGACGCCTAGCTGTCAGGAACAAAAACTACAGCCGCCTGATGAGCAACCGATAGCCATACACTATTTGGCCAGCTTCCACGAGATTTGTGTAGTTACGGCCCTGTTGCCCTTGCTAACACTCTTCACATGCTTTGTGACCGCCTACGTCTTCCAGTACGACGATGTACACGAGACACATTGCCGGGTAGTTGATTGTATGGATATTTTATAATTAAAAAATATATTGAAAATATTATCTTTCAGGTTTATAACATAATACCCTCGATAAGTGCAATTACTGGGGTTAGTCCGCAGCGTTATTTCTGGCGCTTTAGCATTGCGCTGCATATCGGGCCACGCATACCCATTGCCTTTGTCTATAAGAACTATTATCGCGCCCAGTTAACTCGCCTGGCGCCGTCGCTGGTGCCAAAGACTAGTTGGCTGATTACATTAATTCTGGTGCTAAACTGTATTGAGATTGCGGCGTTAGGCGGTGTGACCTATATATCGAACCGTGAGAACTATCGTAAGCAAGACAACCGATGTCACCTAGTCGCAATTAATTCTATATATATTTTGCAGCTGTTCATGAGAGAATCTTCATTACGTTTATGGTGTGCTCGCTCTGTTATATGTTGGCTACCATAAAACTGAATGGCATATTAAATGCACGTCAAACGCTCAATGCACAGCAGCTTCAATCCATCAAATGGAAGAAAATACTTTTCGTTACTTCCATATTGAGCACCATTGGTCTCCTGGTCTTTTTTGCCAAACACAGATTCTATTGCCATGATTTGGGTAAGCTAGCAAGAAAACAATAAAAGCTTAAAAGTTAATTCAAAAATGGAGCGCTTGAATTGGCTTGCAGACATCATAAAATATTTAATGTATAACTAAAGTATTTTGAATGCATCTTCAATTCTTCGCGTGCCCCAAGTCTAAGCATTTAATAATCTAATATCAATTAACGTTTTTACATCCTCTATTTCAGCATTCAGTTGGTTCGCATTCTTTGAGTACTTGATTGCTATTGCAAATATGCTGTTCCATTTCACAATTATCTGGGACTTTCCGTCACAGTACATGCTGATAGTGCAGGGACCGCGAGAGAATCTGATACAGTATTTAGGCACTAAGCCAAAAATTAATTAGTTATAAAGTCCTAGATGATATTCACATATTTTAGCTTTTGTAATCTATAAATTGCAAACATATATACACAATCCCACACACATTCGTAAACATATATAGAATGTGTTGTTGCACCTACACCTAAAATGCAACTCAGCCGAAACATACAATTGTATCATTTAATTTTTGATTACAACTAGCGCTTCCATAACCAAAATGAAACGAATGTAGGTATTCAATATACATTGTATTTCCCCCATCTGTTTCAACTTGTAAATGAGTTATATCCGAATGAATTATTTCTGAGGTAAAATACGTACAAAATCTCCATGACGAATTAAATTCCACATTATATGTAGCTTTTAGTTAACTGAGAAATATTTTTATCGAGTTCCACAATTAAGTACAATGTGAATAACCTGTGAACTGCTCATCTTTTTAAATCAAAAACGAAAAATTGTCAAATATTACCTGTAATGCTTTTCAGCAGAATTCGTTGTTGTATGTTATAACGTTTTTTTATACAACTGGATTATTTTAATACATCGATTCTTATATAGTAATATTCAATATACATTTAAATTTTGAAGCATGTTCGAGCTTTCGTCACTGAATAAATATACCAAATTTTCCTTAGCTAAATAATAATGAAAACGGAACTTGTTATGTTTATGCTACATACATGTTGGAACGAGTCCATTCAATGCCGGTTCGCCCTTATATAGAAAATATACATACATACCTTAAATATTTCGATTGTCAGTATTCTCTCTATTCAACTTATAGGCATATATGTATATATAATCTTATATATATAGAGAGATATGTATATTATCTTATTCATGTTAAACTATATACATATGTAGTTATACGAACCAGCACTAAACGCTAGTCAGTTTTTATGTCTTACCCAAATTTGTAAATTTGTAAATTTGCTGCTATTTTCTTTTTCCTATTTCTCTCTCTCTCTCTCTCTCTCTCTCTCCCTCTCTCCCTCTCTTTATCTCTCTCTCTCTCTCTCTCTCTCTCCCTTTCATGTTCACTGAAAGGGCATGTATTAACACTTTAGTAGTACATATCGTTTATACAAAACAAAATAAACATGGAAAACATATATTGATGGTGGAGCCTATGGTTTATATAGTTAAAGTTAGTTATGTTAACAGTTAATATAATTATTCTAAAGCCACAAAAAAAAAAAAAAACATTCAGACAATAGCCATTTAAGCTGGAACAGGCAACGAACACCATTAAGTAATAATAAATTAAATTCAAATGAAATTATATAGAGAACAAAGAAATTCAAAAGATTTTTATTCACATTTAGCTACTGTTTAAGATATTCCATGTAATCCACTAAAGAAATGTAGTAAACTAAATAAGTGAACTATTGTACTTAGTACTTAGTACTTAATACCAACAACAACAAGAACAAGAAGAAAAACAATAGATAACTTAATGTAAACAATTAACTTACATGGATTAAGTATTTTTCATATGCTTTTGTTGTTGATGATTGGGTTTGATTTCAAATTTTCATATTTGAACAGTCTTTATAGCTATATAGATCATGAACGATTAAGATTAAGTAATAACTAATTCCTTTCTTTTCTTCGAATATTTAGATGAATACATTAAATCGAAAGATTAATGAAGATCAAATTTCAAATTACCTAAAAACTAGGTACTATACAACAGCAAAAAACTTTTTTTTTTTTATAATAATATAACAATATAAATGTTTATGCCTTTCCAGCCAAACTGGTCAAAAGTGCATTCGAAAATGTTTAAAAAGCTAAAAAGAAATTTTATTAATTTATATCTAATTTGTTAAAACTAGGAAAACAAACATATACCTTTATTTGAGTTGTTTTGTTACAAACGATTCGAATATACTTATGTATATTGTATATTGGCCGAACCGACCATGCAACGTCATAAATGTTTATAACTCGCCATGCATTGATGTTTTCCATTTGTGGTACTTTGCCAAGTATTTTATTGAGTGTCTCTCATCTGTTCCAATGGCTATTTGTATATGTTTTACGACATATATTATTATTACGAAACAAACGATGATATGTACTTGATACTTTTTAGAGTGCAACTTTTTACCTTTGCATAACTTTTTAGGCAACACAACGTAAGTAATTTAAGATACAAAATATGTCAACAAATACGAAAATGTAAAACTTTGTAGCTTCCTAATTTGAATAAAGATTATAATACAAATAAATATCCAACTGATTTATCGTCGGCCTTCTGACTTTCTATCAAGAGTATGTGAACTCATTTCCCTTGTGTCGCCCATATGTGAAGACATTAATTGGAAGCACTTAAGAGATTTTCAATATTTTATTGTTATTTACAAGTTCTTTTTTTTAAATTTTAAAAACCTTTATAAACATAAAAACATTCATACACATATATAATACTTGTACACATACAAAGTAAAAATAATAATACCAATAAAATGAAGTTTTCCTCAAGATATAATTAATTCGAAATTCGCTTGAGTTGACTTAAATATGTATTCATATGTGTGTATAAATATGCTCAATTTTTATTTTAGTTGGGAGTTTTGGCAATATTAAACCCGCTTAAATAATATGGACCAAATATATGTACAGATATCATATGCATGCGTGAAGAGGTGCTTCAATTTGCGCAGGTGTATGTATGTGAGTATGATTGTATTTAGCTGCTGTGAGCGGGGAAGTTTACAAATTAAACTCAGTACGAATTAGCTACGGCCAAAGTTTGCATATGTAAATGTGTACATATGCATGCGTGAGTGCCTAAAGCTAAACCCTCCAAAATAGGGGGTCTTATATGTATGTATACATATAAACTTAAATATATATATATAATGTAAATCTTTATATATATATATATATATATGTTTTTTTTTTTTTTTTTTTTTTTTTTTTTTTTTTTTTTTTTTTTTTTAGCATTGCAAGTAATGCCTATTATTATTTTAGTGCTGTGCAGCATTATATTATATGTTAGTATCTAGTCAGGCAAATCAATGCTGATGAATGGCACCACTGGCTTCATTATATCATTTTTGGCAGCCTTCTTGCTTTTCTTTTCGTGCTTGCTAAACTCGTGTAGCGGATCAGTGGCAGCCATATTGCTGGTGGATGACGACGACGCATCCAGCGGCACAGATTGTCCCACATTGCTTTGTGTTTCTGCATGATAACTGATGTTTCCGTATTCCTGTAGAAATGGCATGGCCGAAAGCAGAAATTGGCTAAACGATTTACGAATGCCAAACCACCACATGTTACCGCCCTTGGCGGTAAAGCTCAGTATAATTAGTGCCAGTATAGAGACCAGCAGTGGGGAGAAGACCACAATGTACGGAAACTTGATTTCTCCATCCAGCTTGTCGCAAATGACCACCTGTGCGAACAAATTGATTTCAGCTATTACTATTATCATTATGCAGATCAATTATAATTCGTTTTACCTGAAAGCAGAGCAATGGCAGCACAGTGCAAATGTTGCCAACAGCTGCATTCAAAGCAGCCTTCTTCTGTTGCAAAGATACTTCGGGTGTACGCATCATAATGCCACAAAATATTATGTTGTATAGTACGCTGACCAAGCTAAGGCAAATGACAATCCACATGGGCACAAACACGACATCCCAGTTCCAATATACAAATTTATCCAGCTTAAGCGGCAACGATACAAACTGCAATGCATTGACAGCCAAAAACAGCTCTAATTCAAAGGAGCGATCATGCTTAACAGCCCAGACGCAGGCTCCAACGCTGACCACAGAGCCAAATATAAGCGGTATAAAGACAAGCACCCACAAATGACGCTCCGATGTGAGCTTGTCGCATGCCAGCAGCTCGAACATAAGCAATATGAGGTGCAGAGATAGAGATATAAGCATCGCCTTAAACTGTGTGTAGGAGTCGCCCTCAAGGCGATAGTGCGGATAGCGACACCAAACAATGGCGCCCACTATAGCGCCCAGTATGGCAGTGCATTTCCAAATCCATAGCGGGGTAAAAATAGCCCAATAGGGCCAATCTGCAATTAGCCATGCATACTTCGGTTGAAGTTTCGAGTTAATGGTTTCAGAGCGATTGTCTTACCTATGTATCCATCGAGGCGTAGCGCGAAAAGCGCTACAAACGAAAATAGGCTGCAGTGCACTATGAATTTACTGATAATAACAATTGGGATGGGGTGAATTTTTAAATGTAATGTGACCAGCAATTTGTATGTATTGCTTACCATGGGTTAAAGTCTCGAAATAATGATTCCAGATTCATGTTCTCTCAGACAGTATAACACGCTTGCAACTGCTCCCCTATGTCTGCTATGCTTGCGTTATTATTCTGAAATCCAGATCCAGATGAAGACCTTAGCCACTAGTTGCTCATTATTGTTGCCGTTGTGCGGTGCAAGTGTCTGCCGTTGTTATCTTAAAGGCGCTCAAAGTGGAGGCTTACAAAGGCTTACTTTTTGATTGTTAAACGTTTTTTTGATATTTTATTTACACACTGTTCGACACAGGAAAAGGCATACTAAGTATTTTTTTGTTGTTTTTATCTATCAGAAATACATATATCGGACTTTCACGATTAACTATGCCAACAATATATCGATATTAAGTGCAATATTTTAGCTCTAAGAGTGCTGTTTTATTTTGCTTGTGATGCTCGTTTATTTTCATAAATGTAAATGAAAAATTAAAAAAATACTAATAAATACTAAACTTACCCTATATTCTATTATTCTATTCGAATGAAATTGAAAATTAGATAATATTAACGTGGGTCCGACCTAGTTATTATATGTTCGTGGAATTATCGCCCATCTCTAGTTAATGCTCATGCCTGAGAACGAAGTCGACGAAACCGATTGCTGTGGCAATGGATGCACCAATTGCATTCTGGATAATAAACCAAAGCCCAGTCAACAGGCATTGCTGGCTGGCAAACGAAATGTCATCCTAAGTTATGCCAAATTCAAGATGCTCAGCAATGAAATGCACAATGGTGATGCCCAATTGAGATTGCTCCACTTTGTCTACGTCGCTTCCGATGATGAAGAAAATGATGGTATTTTGGACATTCCGCCGGGTCATCATGTAATGTTGCGCGCGGAGCTAGCTGGACATGCTGCGCCCTTACTGCGTCCCTACTCACCTTACTGGACAGACTTTGTTGCAAAAGAATTTAAAATTCTAGTCAAGTTACAGCCGGGTGGACGTATGTCTGATTATTTAGCAACTTTAGAGCCCTTGCAAGTGCTCAACTTTCGTGGACCCATTGGCAACTATGTGCATGACTCAAGCAGTCCCAAATCGATATATATTATAGCCCAAGGCGTAGCTATTGCCCCCACGCTGCCATTGGTCGCCCAAGTGCTGGACAAGGAGGATGACATGAGCTGCATACGGCATTTGATATGTGTCAAGGACTTGGATCATGTGTACTTTCGCGGTCGTCTGCTCGAATTCGCCCAATACTGGAATTACCGCAGCTGCCTCTATTTGGCGCACCAGAAGTGCAGCTGTGGAGCCGTCAACTGTGATGAGCTTTGCGTTCATTTGAAAAAGAAACTGCACTACAATGAAACAGCACGTAGACTGCGCCTAGATGCAATGCAGTTGGCAGGCCAGACAATATCCAGTGATCAAAGTGGTTCCATTGTAATCATCGCAGGAACTTCAATATTTCAGCGCGCTATGCGCGAGCAAGCCATCATCGCCTTCAATTTGTCAAATAAAAATATATATCTATTATGAACAATACATGAACTATCTCTTGAACATATATTTCCTACTAAATACGCTTGCCTCATATTTAGGGTTGTGATCCGTCCTAAAATTTCGTGACATGTCCCGCTTTTGGCGGATATGTCCCGGTGTCCCTGCCTGACACAAAATTGCTCCGGCTCTCTACTATTTCAATAACAATCATCATTTTGACAAAATGCAAACTTGAAGAATTTTGGTTTAGAAACGCAGCGCAGATAAGTTAGTACAGTTTTTTGCAATGTATGTATGTATGTATGTATGTACATACTCTCGAGCTATTACTCGGAAGTATGTATGTACATATTAACAAGTAAGATACAGCTCTAGTCGAGACTGCTCGTCTACGAGATCCGCTGAACCCTTCAAGCAACTGATATTTCATTAATAATTCGCACACACACACCCGCACATACATATGCATGTAAACAGCAAACGTACGCACGCATAAACACGCATTGACTGTAGTGTACATAGGCTATAGGAACTTAATTGTTGAATAACTTCTTGTGGATGGACTATCTTCATGAAACTTTAAGATTATAATTAAAAATTAAAATGGATATACATGCATTTGCCAAAGCACAAGTCTCTAGGATTTGATATACGACTTTTACAAAGATGAGGGTGACGGGTTGGATATTGGGGTGGAGGGTAATTTAAAAAAAATCGAAATTCTATAAAATACATACAGTGGCTCACACATTATTTCGTGCAGCAGCATAGTAAAACTTTGAAACCGTATTCCCGCTAAACCAGT